ACACTATAAACAGTCTGCCTGTTTGCTGTTCAACAAAATAATAAGGTTTCTTTTGTTTTTTGTTCAACAAAAGATCTCCAAAAGATGCCACTTGGAAAAGTGAGCTTTTTGCATACGTTATTTCTCGAGAACGAAGAGCACCCCAGCCAAAAAAAATTCAGAGCAATGTTTCTCAGGTGCAACGAAGCCTACATGCCAAAATTCAGCTATTTTTGAACACTTTCAAAATGGCCAAAAAATCTAGGGGACGTTCTTGCACGCAGCCTTTCAATTGTCCAGTAACAAAGGAATGACACACAAACACTGCTTACAACCAATCTGACCCAAGGATCTGCTTACAACCAATCACATTCAAGAATTTTGTAGCAGTTATAACAAGTGAATTATTATTTGACCAAAAAAATTCAACTGAACAAATTAGGTAAATGAAATACCTTAAAGCAACTGACCTAAACATGGGTGCTAGAAAAACGCACACATCTCTGATGTGCACCGTGATATTGAGCGTGTTTAGAATCCAGTGAACTGATGCTGAAGTCAACATCAAGCCTGGATAAACCTGCCAAAAAATAATACATAAAGAGTTAGATACTGCAAGTAATCAACCAATCAAATTAAATAATCAGCAATATGTATGCACATTTGCTTGAGTCAATACACTGACAAAATTTCAACAGTAAACATTCTTTCATTTCATAGTCAAGTTGACTTTGTCATAGTCATGGCACATGTCCAGTGGTACATGTGTTGGTTGCTGTACTTGTCCTTGTCAGCAACAAACAATATTCTAGTACTTACTAGTATGATGTTTTAGGGCTTCTTTTCAGCACACTAGGTCGATCATTAGGGGTACTCTCCACTCAACTAAAAATCTGTTACTTTTGAAACTGGGACAAATGTTTGAATGGAAGGGACTCTACATGTACATGTAGATTGCTTACCAGCCATAGTCATTGCATTTTCTTGTTTATTTTGCTTTCTGTCTCTATTTTTTCCTTTTCTCAATTTTTTCCTTTTCTCAAGTTAACTGCGTACAAACTTGAGGATAAGGAGAAGCTGAAAAACAAGTAGACATGACTTACAGTTCCCCCAACAATCCTGCCCAGCGGATACCATGCTCTCTCATCAAACCAGTTCAAAAAATTGTAAAAGCCATGGGAGACAAGATGGTGGGTGGAGCGATAGTTGAACCTGTAGAAGAATAAATGACAAGTTATACTAACTGCTCTGTGGTTGTAGAGATACTGGATTTTGTTATTGTTGTTGTTTTTTTTGTTTGTTTTTGTTTTTGTTTTGTTTTTTGTTTTTTTTTGCCAAAGAAGAGAAATTGGTACCAATCTTCTGGCATTACATAAGCTTGCACATGTTACATAGTAAATGGTTTCACATGTTGCAAGCAATTTTTGTCGCGGCTGCTAAAAATGTAACCTACAAATTATTATTTTGTTAGTAATTGTAGTATCTCGTTTGAAGTCATAAAAATTCACTCCAAAGCTTGCTTAGCAGGTAGCCATTTCTTTTTTGCTACTTGGCGACATCCAGTTTTAACCAAATGTCACACGCAATAAAAAAATGTGAATTAATTTTTTCATCTGGCATGAAATCATTTAACGTACAATGTTTCAAACTCTGCTTGCCTAAGTGACATGCATTTCATTGTCGCGATCACATTAAAAAAAAGCTTCTAAGAAGATAAGAATAAGGGAAAATAAGGTCCTTTCCTCCTTATATTTGCAATCCCCCAGCCCCTTCCCTATTAACAAAATTTCTGAAGAATCAGCAAAATAAGGGTTAATGCTGAGGAGCTACATCTGTTGGCATTGTTTGAAGTTTTGATATTTCTCAGGAAGTTTGGAAGAGAAATGACTTTTTCTGTTAATGACAGAGAAAAGCCAGGTTCTTTCTGAGAGAGACAATGTGTTGGCACTTTATTTCTCAGGGACTCTACTTTGACTTATCTCGTCAAAGGGGAAAGGAGCAGATAACAGAAGGAATGACTCTAACCTAGCCACATACTTGATAAAAAACCTTTTTCAGCTAAAAAATGCTTATAATTATTATACGTATGTTATATCTTCCTCTCAGCCAGAATATTGTATCCATTCCTCAATTCAGTGGCATGTCAATACAAACAGCAACTAGACCATGAAAGACAATAGACTGCAAAAAGAAAATTCTCAGACTTTTGTTTCGATAATCACAAGATACACTTCGGAAAAGTAATGTTAATAAAATTGATGATACTAGAAACACAATTTCTGGTCTGTTAGTTCATAATAATTTAAGATCAGGCCTAAGAGCTCTTTATAACTTTTTAACTTCTGTATCTCTATCAGATCACAGACAAAACCACAACAAAAACAACTTGAACACCTGCTTGAGTCTTGGTAAATCCTGCACTGAATGTTTATTTTAGAAACTACCCCTCAAAAATATAGTATACTAACGAATACCGATTGAAAATGGAAGTAATTGACCTGAACCCTTCTTAATAGCGGCTGAATAAATACACTTTTCATAACATTATCTTTTGTAATGGTTCAAACTTGTATTTTACAAATCACATGAGTTCCTGAAAAAAAATGTTTTATAAAAGTTAAGAATCTTACAATTGATTATGTTGTTAATTAAACAGATAGAATGCTCTCTGCTGTCACCATAAGTCAGTGTCGCAGTGTGGGGTGAGGTGCTATAAGCAAAAACCCTCACAGCAGTACACGGCTCATGTACATTAATTTTATTTATAACTTTGAAAAAATGTAACTCGATGCAAAGAGCTTTTTCAGTGTTAAGAAAAGTCGATTTTATAAATCTGATTTCTGTTGCATATAATTTCTTGATAGCACCTGCATAAACTTTGTTCTAGGTTTTTAAAAAGACAACGGTGTACCTGTCTCTCAATTTAGTCT